ACTTGGGCTTGCCTGCATGTCTCCTTCAAGCAAATAAAGTTGACAACATGCATCATAGGCACCATCTTATACTCATGGGTGCTCGCTAATGTCATGGACTGTCGTCATCCAATAATATTTGGTGTTTTCACACGTGCTTCAGACACCAGTCACGCTGAGGGAGTTTCTCATAGAGTCAATACAAAACACAGTGTCTCGCTACAGTCGTAGCGACAGTCGTAATCTGAGATGGTTTAGAAGTCAATATATCATTAGTTTTCACATGTTTTATGTATAAAATGTAAAATAAAACAGGCAAATGTTACATGCACAGAATCCACAGTAAAATCCCTCAGAACATAGATAGGAATAAAACTGGAAAGTTTGGTTTATGTACGTGCTACTGACATGGAGATTTCCGGCTCAGTGCGGGAGAATAAAAGTGTAATTATGCAATCAATTGGTTATAGTTATAAAAAAAGAAATGGCCCACAATCTAGAAAATGTGTGTCAGAGGGCTTAATTTAGTGGGATGAAAAAAAAATTAAGTTAACACATTGAACTGACAGCACTAATTTTGTCTTGTAATATACATACTTAGATTCCTTTTTCACATGTCCACTCTGAAATAAGACACTGTTCCACCATCGCCAAACAAAGAAGTAAACTAGTCAGAGGAGAAAGTTATGCCAAGTTCCCCTTACTTCTGTTCTGCACTGAAAGGGCGTCTGTCTGCTATTTCCAGCACAGAATGACCTTGTGTGACATGATCGGTGGAAGACGACCTGTGAGGCTCTGTGTACTTGACTGTGTCTCTGCGCACACATCAGTTCATATACAGTGCAATAAAACAGTTTTCAGTGGCGGTAGAAGTAGCTACCCGTCGTGTGAGCTGGTTTGAGCAGACAGACACAGGCCACATGGCAGAGATTCACTCTGACAGGAGAGCTCAGCATGTGTGGACAGCAGGCCGAGCGGGCCAACGCTAGCAGGCTTTGATCTTCGCTCGCACTGCCGTCTGTTGTGCATTTTAGGGTTGCTGAGCGCGAGGCATCGGATACACCTTGAATGTCCTGTGCCCCTGCCACCTCTTAAAGACCAAGTATCTCTTTTCAAAGCTGAAGGGGCCCTCTGAAACCCCACTGCCACAACCTCACAAATAACATTACGGTGTGCACGGCATAAAAGTGCCACTGAATTGGAGGACTGAAATGAAAGTGACACAGGGAATGTGCTTGTGTCAAGGGTCCAAGGTGAGCTGTATTATTTTGTAATATGTGTCTGCTCATGCTGTGAAGAGCAACAGGTGGAGGACGTCTACTCAAGAGCACAACACGTCTACCAAGCGTGAGTGAGATTTATGTTTGATGAATTATATGCAGTGAACAAAATCAACACCAACTGTCAAAGAAAATCGAATTGCCTTTCAGTTAATTTTAAGAAATCAAATTATTTTTCAATTTGTGTACATTTGACAGTACATGTCAAAAATTAATATATATATATATTTTTTTTGTGAACACTTGTTTTTACATTGTATACATTAAATTAAATTAAATTAAATATGAACTATTAAATTATACCATGTGTCATAATTACTGGTTGTAGCGATTTTTCTTATTAAACATTACAGTATTGTTGCAAAAAGTCAATATTATACCAAACACTCCATTAAGGACAAATGTAATTATTGTCCTTAATGTAAATCGCATAAAGGACTAAAAGAGTCCAAAAAATGAAAAGAGGGGATGGTGAAAGATGGTGGTGAAAAAGAAAAAGGTGGTGAAAGAAACCAAACGTCAATGTGGCTCTGACCACAAACGCATATAAATCCACAGACAACATGTAGGACAAATTTCAGGACAACGGATAGCCACAGAATATGGATCTTAAAGGAAAACACTATTAACTTAAACCTTCCAAACACTGTCTACAAAACACCATTCTGTAATCTGACATCAAACAAAGACAAACCCCCCCCCGTTTCTCCAGCTTCTCTGGAGAGCTTCTATTTTCACCTCTGGGTTATTGTCAAGTGTGTAATTTATTTCTAGACTATAAATCTTTGGCAGGCCACAGTTAAGATTATAAGATATGTAGGGAGTAGAAAAGGCAGGGGGAAGACAAGGATAGAACTTGTGCTGTCTTTTAGAGCCTCAAAAACAAATATGATTCTACAAATAGAGCAGTGTTTTTTGTCTGGAACTCCACAAGCGTTCATGGAGACCAAACAAAAGAGTGAGGACAGTAGGCCTCCAGATAAAGATAAAACAACAGACTGTAGACAATGCATTTCGGCACATTGATGCATTTCCTATTAAAACAGGAAGCTTGGGCGGGACCCACAGATGCATGTTACGTTACAGTCCTGAACCATGATTTGAAACTCGCTACTCTGCAGTAGGTGGTGTTAAGGAGACATTTGTATGACACGGCGTATGTATGACACACCAATTCGTATTTCCATTTTTGGCATGCTATCAATACGCATGATCGCTTTTCAGCGGAGTTTATGAACACCGTTGACTTAACGCTACATTACTGTATATATACATATATGACCTTCCCCAACCCCGTCCCTAAACCTACCCGTCGCGTTTATGAGTCTTCGCCTACCATCCTAGGAAAAAAAAAAATATCGCTCCCAAGATGTAGATCTACATTTTGCTTCATTTCGCTTGGACATTTAAAGTCCCTTTGAACCTGAAGTTGCAAACGACTTTTCTCCAGTGCTGTGACGTATTTCCAAGTGAAAGGGAATATTGAACAGAAGGCAGGGTTTTACTCTAGCGCTCCTCCTCTCCATCTCTCGCTCATAGCACCATATGTCAGAGTTCGCATGCCGCTGGAGCAACTAGGGGTTAAGTGTCTTGCTCAGGAACACATTGGTGTCTCACAGTGGATTCAAACCCAGGTCTCTCACACCAAAGGCATGTGTCTTATCCACTGCACCATCACCACCCAAGATTACATTCATAGTACACACACTCATACTATCTAGAACATACAGTACTTTTAGCACTCAAAGTATTTATTTAAAACAAGTAGCGATTTTCTGACGCAGCCCCTGAGTTATATGTACACTTTGTCTTTCTGGCAAAGATGACTCACAAAATTAAGGATTTTTGAGATTTTGCTCTCCAAAACGTCAGTTTGAGGTAAGTGTTCCTGAAGTTTGTTTGATTTTTTTTTTTTTTTTTAACTCAAATTTACTCAAAAGATAAGGCTGGATATGCGATCTCAACATGACAGCTACAATAATAAGGCAGCCCATTTTATGTAGAATAAAACTAGTTTAAAACTAGACTAAAGACGCATTTATTTAGCCTGGCATTCATATAAATTTATCTTACAGTTACTGTAAATTTGGCCTCTAGCTCATAAACGCCAGAGGAGAACTTGCTCCCAACTGAGCCTGGGTTCTCCCAAGGTTTTTTTTTTTTCCATTGGGTCATCTGATGGAGTTTTAGGACACCATCGGGTCACTTGATGGAGTTTTTCGGTTCCTTGCCACTGTTGCCTTTGGCTTGCTCAGTTGGGGATATTCAAATTAAATGACCCATCATACCATTGATCAGCTCTACCAAACTTGATTGTCTTTTTCATGAATAAACGCACACTGTTAAGTTGTCTTGATTGATATTGTGAAGCAGCTTTGATACAATCTGTATTGTGAGAAGGGCTATATAAATATATTTGACTTGACTTTAAACAGTATTTTAGTCTTTATTGATGCATTAATGATTTTAGTACATATAAAAGGAGACAGTCAATGAATGAATGAATGAATCAATCAATCGACACTTTGAAGTGCACTTCATATCTCAGTTTTATTGAGCATTACAATAGCAAGAGGTTACTACAATCTGCTGTTGGAAACGTTCACAGACATTTCATAATAAATGCAGGGTCAAGTAAAACTAAAATAAGCATATATATATGCTCAATCATACATTTTTTTTTATAGTAATGCAAGAATATTAAGTAAAGAAAAGTTCTCAACTGCAGAACTTGAACTAATAGCCCTGCCAAAAAAACCCTCATCAATGTAATAACCGTCAACATATTTGATTCAGTGTAATTTATAAATACATTTTAGAGATCCTCTCATTTTTCTGCCATAATAAAATACAGACCTAAAATATACTTTGCATTTTCAAAGATGAACTAACAGTCATTTTTTAGCTTCCTTTTTTGGGGGGTGGTCTCATCTCCTGAGCACTACACATGGCATTAGAAAACACACAAAGCTGTTGACATGTTAATACAGCTTAATCACAGAAGTGCACTATGCAGCTTTCAAATAAGGTCAAGTGAACTCAAAGTACGCAAAAAAAATGCATACTTGGATTGTGAAACATGCGCCATGTTCTTAGTACACACGAGCAGTGCAGTTAGTCATAGTGCACGTATTTAGTAAGACGCTGAGCAAAAGTGCGTGTGCATCTAGAAGATCTTTTTGAGATCCTACTGCCATCAACTTTGTGGTGAAAGTGTAACAACCACGATTCAACATATTTTCAACGGTGCATATCATTAGATTTGAGAATAGTCCCACTCTTTAAAGAAATAGTTCACTTGAAAATAAATTTCTGCCATTCACTCGCCCTCGTGTCATTCAGATCGAAAGTTGGATTTCAAAAGAATAGATAGATCGCAATTTTAAGGTAAAATGGAAATACAAACACCAAAATATCACGTGACGTGTATGAGTTCAGCAAGAGTTCTAAAAACTCAGGTCAAATGGATCATTTTTATGATATTTTGAATCTTTTTCAATATTTTAAAGCTAAAAGGAAAACAATGATGAGGATCCTCTTGTGTTCTGCTAAAGAATGTATATATATATATATATATATATATATATATATATATATATATATATATATATGTGTGTATATATATGTATATATATATATATATATATATATATGTGTGTGTATATATATGTATATATATATATATATATATATATGTGTGTATATATATTTATATATACACATGTATATATATATATATATATATATATATATATATATATATATATATACAATGACGAGGATCCTCTTGTGTTCTGCTTAAGAAAGTAAACTGTACAGGTTTAGAATGACACGAGAGCAAGTAAACGGCAAATTTTATTCTAAACTGCTATTCCTAGCTTTAATAAAGTCAAACGAAAAGGCAATTTTTGCAAATTTCAAAAAGGATTTTATCCTGCATTCCACTCTGTCTACGCATTTGCGACTTAACCAGACTCACATCAAGCACACGTCAAATATCTCCACTCAGACCGAAAATGTTAAGACCTATAATATGAATTACTAAACTGAACTTTTGCACAAAACAAGCACCTTATCTATATATAAAACATAATAGTAAAAGTAATATCAAACATCAAGTAAGCCGTTTACATTAATGGCCACCCTGTTTCAACAACCCTTAGCTTATTTACAACGAAAAGGACGGTGCATATTGTTTAAGAGAGGAATAGAAATGGAGCATCAAGTCTTGTCCAGCACATATTAGAGGCTGAGTTCCTTGGAAGCCCACTAAAACCAGAGCAGTGCACTAGTCCTGAAGTGCACTTGGCATGTCCTTTTCTTAGCAGACGCCTTAGGCAAATTACCCTGCTAACCCTGTCCCCGTCCCCCCATCTCAAGTGACACAGATGACACTGTCTATGCTATGCCCATGAATGGAACGCAAAAGTAGCACGGTATGTTTTAGAAAAGGAAATTGTGAATAAATGTTTTTATATCTGTGCAATAAAGAAAAGATGGAAGAAAAGATATATTGCAACCTTTTTGTCCCTTTATAATGGTGTCCTACGATGACACAACATCAAGCTCTTGCTTATGCTGCAGAAATAGAGGATGATTTCACACCGCTTCAGTCACTCACGGTGCCAAGTCGACAGACTCCACCTTCGATTGCCAGCGACTGTCCGGCCACCGCCCCAGGAGGAAGTCTGGATATGTGAGTCTGGCAAACAGAGAGAGAGAGAAAGATAGAGTGTTAACAGAGTCAAGTATGAGTGTGGCGGAGAAGCACACAGCTGTTGAATAGTGGGAGTGAGGTGTCCTCACTGCAATCAAAGGCATATGCCCCCGTCCCGCTCTCTGTCGGGCAACAATAAGCGGCCCTCGGGGAGCCAGAACCATGTGCGAGGAGAATAGAAGTGAAGATATCATCCCAGAGCGCCCCGGGCCACCTGTTGGAAGCACTGGTTCATGGCGGGACAACACGCATAGGGTGACAAGTCAGTGGAAAACTGTGACCCCTTTCAGCACATCCATGTGTGTCAGTTATGCTATGATAGTGATCCATATCTCACTCACACAGTCTATGTGACCTCCAGCACAAGTGTGGGTAGATTACCCACAAGCTAGAAGACAATAGCTCAAAACTAACTCAAATAACTAAAACTAAACAATAGAACATCACACAAACACAAGCGAACATCTATTCTGTAAAAAGATCAAGGTAATAATAAATCCCTAGAAAAAATAAAGTCAATGAATAATTACAAAATAAATGTAAATATAAGAATGACATAATTAGAATACAGGGCCCTATAACTTCTGTAACGCAGAAAAAACAGATGGAGTGATAGAATCCAGTAATAAAAATTGGATTTACAGTATAACACACGATGTCTTTTTTTAGCGAATTTTGGATGAATAAATCCAGAAAAAATAAAATGGGTTAATAAAATGGAATCCAGATGTTTTTGTTTTTATAAATAAAAACAGGGACACTAAATGTAAATAAATGTAAATTATATAAAAATACAATAAATGACCGAAATAGTACTGAACCCATGCCTCTACATAAGACTGTTGATATATTGTATCATCGGTTTAAAAAAAAATTAACTTGTTTCCAACAATCTAGTGAAAATTGGAGTCCACACAACAACCCCAACTGAAACATTGTGTTTTACAAAAGGCGTAGCTTGTCGGAGCAGCAATAATGCCACACAACTTTGGGTGACGCGAATTTGAGTCCCAGGTCGTGATTCTCCTATAACTTTCTGTCAATCCTCAACTGTTCTATCAAATAAAGTTAAAAAAGCCCCAAAATATCTAGAAAATAAAAAAGCTTAGCTTTAAATCTAGATTAGTAACAGGCATAAAACACCAACTTTTTAATATGTTTCTGCTAATTGCTAACACACCCATGTAACAATCAACGCATTCAGACATTACTGTAAAGGATGAGGACAACTATAATACAGGGGGAATCATAACACAACTCGCATTTCACATTTTTTTGCGACCCCATGGAACGTTATTCCAATGTTCTGTCCATATAGAGATAAAGCCTTTTTTAATACATGACCATTACATTAATTTGTGCAATAACATGGCCCAAATATTCTGGCCATTAGAGTTCTGCAAGATGTTTTTGTGAGATGCTAGGGGTGGTTGTAACAATTAGATGCCAACGTCTTCAGAGTGGGTTTTAGCACTATGCTATGTGGTTACCAGGGGGTTCTGGGTGGTTGCTTATTGGCCTAAGGGTGTATTCACACCAGTAATGTCTGATAGTTCACTTACTTTGGTCCAGACCAATTTTTTTTTTGGTACCATTCGCTTTCTCACTGCTCTTTTTGCAAGTGAACCAAAATTTGTAAACAAAACCACACGTGTGCTAAGGTCGTCCATTCATTGGACAAGGAACCTCAAGTAGGGATAGCAGGAAGTGCAAAAAAGGCTCAGCGTGGAGATATTTCATACTGCAATATTTGTTCTTTTACTAATTTTGTGTTATTCTGTACAAACGCAATATGAAGAAACTAATGAGTATCATATGATACAATCATCTATAAGATGTTGTAATTCGGATTTTGAGAAGACGACGATGTGCAGCAAGACGGTCATAAATTACATTTACTTTGATTTTAAAGGGTTAGTTCACCCAAAAATGAATATTCTGTCAGTATTTACACACCCTAATGTTGTTCCAAACCTCTATGTTTATTTGTTCTGTTGAACACAAAGGAAGATATTTGGAAGAATGTTTTATTCAAACAGATCTCATTCCCCATTGACTACCATAGTATGTATTTTTCCTACTATGATAGTCAATGGGGAATGAGATCTGTTTGATTAAAACATTCTTCCAAATATCTTCCTTTGTGTTCAGCAGAACAAATAAACACATAGAGGTTTGGAACAACATGAGGGTGAGTAAATACGGACAGAATTTTCATTTTTTTCAAATTTCCCTTTAAATTGATTCAGTATATTTGTCTTGTGTTCTGTTATTATGGAAGCTTGTTTCCACCACTGAATAAAAAAAATATAAAGGTAATTGCGACTTTTTCTCGCTCACAATTTTGACTTTTTTTCTTCACAAATTTATAACTCGCAATTCTGACTTGGAAATGTTATTCCTCTCCAATCGTCAAGTGTAACTTGGACTTATTCTTCTTATAAATGACAACAGGGTTTTGAAGTTGAACACATTTGAATCTACTTGATGGTGTTTTATCTGGAATGGTTCACATGTGGTTGGAATTACCACTGCTGGAAATAATCATGAAGTCTTAACGCAACCTAAAGATTAGACTCAATTCTGTGTGGCAAACCAGAGATTCACTGACTGAGATGGACATCTAGATTCAAGCCAAACATTTAAGCAGTTGGATATAATCAGAAAACTGCTTTGTTTGAGACCAAAAGTATGCCATTAAAATTCTTTCTTAATTGCCACGTAAAAATGTGTGTATGATGTGTTAAAGAGCTGAAACCCAGAAAATGTGGGGCCGCAGTGTAAAAAGAGATATATGACAATGGCCGTGCTTCAGCTGTGGTTTTCACATATTTTGTTCTCAGCCACAATGTGCCATCCCTTCTTTCGAGGGGCTAAATGGAAAAAGGGAAGAGTGAGCAGTGTAACCAATTATCAGCAACCACGGATGCGTTTCCCAAAAGCATTGTTGGCCGACTATGGTCGCAAGTTGTGACGTTAACAACAGTTTCACCGATTTGCCGTTTCCTGCAACCATAGTTCTAGTGAACATTCGAAAACAGTATCACAAACTTGCGTTGTTGAAACAGTTTATTGTTCAATGACATGTGTGGACTTAAACAGATCATGCTCTTGGGCACAACAAGCAAGCTAACAATCAGTAAATTCTATATATTTCATTCTATTTAAATAGTGTGGTGGAAGGAGCAACGACATACACAATTGTTGTCTAGGCCGCAGGAACTTTCCCCAGGAACTAAGGACTTTGGGATGGTACTCAGTGTGCTAAATATTTCCCCCTCCGAAAGTCTCTGCTTGCGAGGTAGTACTTTTTCAAAGTTTAGGAACTTTCAGGGGTGGAACTTGGGCGCTGAACATGCTGATTGGTTGAGTCCATACCACATTTTGATTGGTTGACTCCACGCAGATTTTTAAAAATATGTTGCAGTTTGCTTTTCGAATCAATTATGGAGTTTAAAAAATATGGCAGATGGACCGACGAAAGGTTCAGGCTTTATGGGGGGCTTGGGGTGTTCCTAGGACAAATTGTCACGGGTAATTTCAGTGGAAACGCGGATTCAACTAAATGAATAAACCCGCCAATAAAGCTAAATGACATCTAACAAAAACAGTGAAATAGTCATTAATGACTACCACCATTTTTTTACAGCAGAATATCGGATATCTCAAATAGATTAATTAGTAGAAAAATATTAATCCAGCTACACGTGACATCAATTACGACAGTCCTATATTGTTGAACCAATGTAGTTCAAAGACAGAGGTGCAAAAGAGTCACTACGGCTTTGGAAAACAATCATGACTAGTTGGTAAGTTTCCTCAACGATGGCATGCATCATACCATGGTGGTTAATCAGAAAGTTACATCACTGCACAAGAAATGCACCCCAGAGCAAGGATGAGAGGACATCAGAAAACCAGCTCTTCTCAAACAGCAATGATGCGTGTGGATTTGGGAATTGAGCTGGAAGGTTTGAAATCTTGCCAGAAAAAAGAAAACATGCAATCCACATTCCAGGCTATACATCGGACTACATGTTTGTCAGTGCACCAAACACAGAGGCCCATCCGTATCCTGTTCCTATATGTGTACAGTTTCATGACCACAAATATCCTGTATACATAGTTATAATTTTATGCTGTGCAAAGTATACAACAAGCAAATTCTTTTAAATGTATGGCTACAAAAAAAATTAAGCTAAATTAAATATGGCCTAACATTGCAACTGTGCTAACAGATATACAAACTGAACAGGTTGAAAAGATCTGGAGCTAAAGAGGCTTGTTAAATGTAAAAGATTCATCAATGCCAGGCATGAAAGCCAAAGGGCTTGAAGCAACAGAGAGGGTCCGCTTCCAGCCAATCTGCACTGACAATAGACCGGATAAAGAGCACACTGGCTTCTGCAAGAACTGACTAGAGCCCCTGTTCAGAGCACAAACCTAACAAAGGACTATTCTAAAATGGGTCAATGCACACTTCTAGACACGCTCTGAGCTACTAGCGTGAATAGAAACGGTTAAAACGGCACACACTCCTAGAGCTCTGGACTGTGTTCTATCTCGCTGAGCTGCCAATCAGCTCTGGGCTTTCATCTCATCAAACACACACACACATACATACACAGCAGCACAATGCATGAAGGAATGGGAGGAATGTTTCTGGAATGGTACAGAAATGAGTTGGTGTCTTTCTGCAGCAGTCGTCGGTGGAAAGACCTGTCACAATTCAGCAGGATTGTTCATTTTATGAGTACCTGCTGTTAATTACATACCAGAAACTTGTGGACTGATACTAAAAATATAAGAAGTATATTTGTGCATGTTGCCATGCTTTTATCACTTTTCAGACATTAGGACATGACTGCCAAGTCCCAAGTGCCAAAGATAAATCAATGGGAGTTTTGGCAAAACTTTATTAATCATTCTGAATAACACTAACAAACCTTAATTGTGAGAACTGCAAAGACAAGCATCTCTATTAGTGTTGCTCAGACTTGAACAAACCCCACAGATCAATGTAGTGTGACAATGTATGAAGCACAGCTCGCCATGAAGTCACGTTCAAACCAAGCATCTTTCTGTGAGTCAAATCTGTGAATTTACTTGACCACCTTGAACATGCTACGCCTGTGTGGTAAAATCTTTCACTACATCACATGGTTCCAAACTGACTTACAATTCACCCATGGAAATGCAGATTTCACTCATGAAAATTCATAGAATAAAAGTTAAATTGACCGAACCTTAATTATTATATTTTGGTATATAACTCAACACAAACCACTGGTGTTGCAGGCATGCATGATGCCCGAAATATTATTTAAGAAAGATTATTACTATTATAGATTATATTATTACTATCTACTATTGCTATTCCTATTATAACAGATTCAAAAATTCTAATGTTTTTTTCCATGCTAATGACTAAATTGAAGCAGGGACACAAGCCATATCTAGGAATCAGAAAAGCATAAAGACTAACCACCCCAAATGCCCTAGCAACTGCGGAGACTGTGAACAGCCTCTGATGAGGGTGTTCTGATGTGGGAACTTCTTACCCTGGGTTTACTGTCCTGGGCAGACATGTATCCCACACACATGCTCTCTGTAGTATGGCTCCATAGAAACTCCACTGTGAATAAAAGAGAGACAATAACTGTGAGATATAGGTTCAAAAAAATCCTTAGAAGATTACACATCCTATTAACCTCGAAGAAAATTAGCATCTTGAGGAGTTTCAAATGAATTTTTAGAAGTACTTTATTTTATTGATGAATGAAATATTAGAACAGAATAAAATCTCATGAACCACAATGCATATTTTATAGAGATGGTTAAATGCATCGCAATTCTCTCTTCAAAGATTCTGAATCAATTCTGAGTAAGCATTTGTGTGTGCTCTAGAAACAACCGTATTCTGCTTGCTTTGAATTCTCACACACACACCCCTTCGAATAGCGCTTGCGGCATGTGGCGGTGGGGTGAATCAGTGTTAGTTGTTAAATGCACCTTAAAATGCTTTTATGATGCAAAATTAACATAATTAATGTCTGTTATGTCTTAAGGGATTACACAGACAAGCCAAAGCATCTGTATTGTCAAAATAGATCTGTGCATTAGTGTGAATGCAGTCTATTTTTAGATCTCCTGCTGTCTATGATGTCATCTTTGTTTGTGTTTCTTTGTTCTTTTGTTATTATTTGATATTTAAATGTAGGTTTTGAAACCATATTTAGTCAGTTAAACTCTTAACATAAAATTGTTTTAAATTTGTAATTATTATAAAAAGTTCTTCGATTTATTTATACATTTGTAATTTTAATATTAAACATGTAAATGTAAATCAAGAACAATTTTGGAATCGGATCGTGACTCCCAGAATTTAAATTGGATCGGATCATGGGGTGCTTAAAGATTCCCACCCCTTATATTTTACTCATTAATGGAAAACCCATTAGAACTTCCAAAATGAAAACATGGCGAATTATCCTTCTGAGTTAACCTTAAATTGAAGTCAAGACTGAACGGTTAATGAACCAAACACACAAAGATATTTCATATCAGTCTGAAATGTGTTCTTCCATTGAGTGTTGTCAGCCCTAATCATAACAATGCCTCTATTATCCCGACCACACTCTCAGACCACACTTTGAGACCTGTTTATTCTGTTATTTGTGAACGTAGGGAGCTGCCATGTTTATCCCTGAATGTTTAAACAAAAACGACTGGAAAAATAGTCAGCATCTTTAGACAAGAATGTGAGGGAGGCATCAGAAAGGATGAATGGGGGAGAGGGGGGCAAAACAAAACGAATGACTTTCAGGGAATCTTCAGTGACACAGTTGTTCTTCAAAAATCCTCCATAACGGCATCTTTTTATGTAACACTTTCAGGAATGATGCATTAAATTGTTCAAAACTGATACTAGATACATGAGGTTACAAAAGACCCATTTTAAATAAATGATGTTCTTTTGAACTTCTTTTGTGGAAAAAAATCGGTTTCCACAAACCGTTTTGAACACTGATAATAAGAAACGTTCCTTGAACATCAAATCAGCATATTAGAATGACTCCAGAAGGATCATGTGTCACTGAAGACTTGAGTAATGATGCTGAAAATTCAGCTTTGACATCAAAAGTTAAAATAATAATAATATTTCTCAATATTGCTGTTTTATGAATGCAGCCTTGATGAGCATAAGAAATTCTTCAAATAAAATAAACAACTTTATGGACCCCAAACATTTGAACGGTAGTAAATAAAATTCACTTTGTAGCAGGTAATAATAATGATAATTCCGCTAATGACTGCATTTGCAGATTTCAAACACAGATGGCGACAGAGAGGAAAAAACTGTGGACTGCAGCGTTAAATAAAACAAAACAAAAAAAAAATATTGCACCATTGACTTTAGACCAGGTTTTTGTTGGTCAATGGCGCAGTCTATTTCAGTTGCCAAAAAAAAGTAATGCGCCAACAATGCGTCAAAACACACCTCAGCACACCCAAGGGCGCATATGCTATTTAAACAACGTGGCACAGGACTACATGGTTGAAACTAGCGAAAAACACTTACCGCATTGCGCCGGGTGTATGATAAGGCCCCTTATGATTAGCTTGCTTGGGTGTGTTTGATTAGGGTTGGAGCTAAACCCTGCTTTGTAGTATTCTTTATTATTATTTTTAATGCACTTAAAATATCTAAAAAAAATCTTAAAAAAAAAAAAATCAATCAATAAAAAAAATAAAAAATACAAATCTTGTGTTCTCTGGATTCTGTTCCAATCCATTCGGATATTTTTGAAAACACAATCATCACAGTTTTGGACCTCAGGTGTAATGAATTTAAGCTGAAGCAGGACAGAGGAGCACGTACCCAGCAGAGCCTGGATGTCTTCAGATCGTTGGGCTTCTCCACATGTGCAGCACCTCAGAACAATCACCCCACCCAGAACACAGTCCTCGCCAGCCAGGAACGGCGAACCTTAAACACAAACAAGCCAACTGCATTTCAACCGTGACCTTCTTTCCACTACAATCAGTCTATTTAGATGTAAAATCAAAATGAAAGCACATTGGAGACATCTAAGAAAACCCAGCGATTCGGTCAATGATTTATTAGTTATGCTCTGTTCTGAGAAGTTAATGAAATGAGCGGAAAAGCAGTACATTTCCGTACTTTCCCCTGCCAACCTAAACGACTGAAAACAATTATTCTTTCCAAAGCTTTTGTTTTATTAACCAAATGAGAAAAATTGGGAGCAGAGACACTTTTCGCTCTTTAATAGGTTAATGATGGAATGAGTTATTTCTGTAACCCCTCACGGAGCTCTGATAAAGAGACCGTGTTGAAAAAGCAAGCAAATACAAAAAAACTGAAAGAGTTTGCGCTGCAAAACGGGCTTCAAGCCCATTCAAATGATTACATCTCAAAACCAAAGGAGTGCTGGACACAGACTAGGTTTGAAGCACTCAAGCATAACATCAGTCCACAGGAGGGAAGAGTTTTAAATTTCACCGCAGATAGGTGCTCCGTTTCATTAATGCCATATTGATTTTGCACATCACGTTGTGTTCAGCTTTTTTACACTGGACACGCGTCTTTTTATAACACTTCTTAATTAAAACCTGGACAGCCTTCACACAGAATATATGTCTTAACCACTAGAATGACATTATATAGATCAGTGGTCTTAACACCACAATTCAAAATACATTAAAAACGGATCTTAATCCAATATTCCATAAAAAAGGCTGTTTCATTCTGTTTCATCTAAGCATCTTCACAGTTTAATCAGTTTACACAGCTTTGAGAAACACTTGATTCATATTGGTTAGTCACAGCATTCCACAGTCAAATGTTTTAGTAGAAATGGTGGCACTCCAGAGACTGTCTTCTCACATTAAATTAGATAAATATTTCAAGTGTGCCAGTTTAATTATTTAGTAAATAATTGTAATCAAAGTGCAGTCATCTGATCATTTTCACAAAACAAAGCCCTTAAAGTAAGGGTAGGCAATTTTCAGAGAGGCTAGCAATAGCAGGCTAGCTTTAAAAGCATGAGATCCCACCCTCCCTTCAGAGCTTCTCCAAATTCACGGCGTCATTTTGTTATTGTTATTGAGTAAAGCATGTAGCACATTTTGCCGTCAAGATGTTTGTTAACAGTATATCGCTTCAAAGGTTTTCCAACTTATTACTTCTAACGAAAATAACTTTGCTGTGAATATATCGGAGCATTGAATCACATTCAGACTCTTGTACATTACGTGTGAAAGCTGCAGTACAGTTAATGGCCTCTGGTGTCGCTAATAACAAGGGTTTCTGAATTTTACATATAGTCCCTTTAAAATGAACACTATGCAAAATTTGTACCTTAATATAACAGCTTCGACGTCATTTTAATGGTAAACGTACGGTGGCCCAGTAGTGCACAACACAACGGAATTTAAAAAGCAAACATAAGTTCACAATACGATGAAATTAAGCCACAACTGAACAATGGCAAGGAAAACTTTACCACGCTCCGAGAGCCCTTTAGTGGTCGGGAGCATTTCCGTTGTGTTGAAGCTTTATTTCGTTGTGTTGTTGCTTATTTCCATTATGTTGTGGCTCAGTTCTGTTGTGCTGTACATTTTCCGTTGTGTTGTGACTCATTTACTTTGTGGATTCATTTCGTTGTGTACTTATGTTTGCTTTAAAAATTTCGTTGTGTTGTGCACTACAGGGCCACCGTATAAACTAACTCATAGTAGGGCGAATAATCACAACAGTAAAGCAGGCTGGGACGCTGCTGGCAAAACCCAAGGGGGTAATCCATCAGCCGGAATTTGTACACTCGCGGGAGACGCCATTGTAGCAGAACCAGCTGTTAGCATCCCATTGACTCCATTCATTTTGGCATCACTTTGATAGCGAATAACTTTACATCTGAGGCGTCCAAAGACTTCATTTGTCCATTATTTATTTCTAAAGAAACACGACAATGTATAAAACGTTCCATTACTTTGTATCTTACGTTTCGGCCCCCGTAGAAGCCATTTTTCTAAAAATAGGCTAAAGATTGCGTCATAACCACGGGACTTTCTGTCACACAATAGAGACATTGCCGTATAAACAGGAGGAGAAGCTCACAGGCAATCTTTTACTGTCTATGAGGCAATCGGAGGGACATGGAGGCACAAAGTCAAGGTAGAAGCCCATAAATAGAGAGTCCATTAAAAGCAACGGGACAAAATATCTCAACAACGTTTTTGAGGAATTGGGTGATTCAGATTTGTCTTGGCACAGCTACTAGAAGATTTTCAACTGTCAGACTGTCATCACGCTGAGTTTGAGCCTGCGCAGTCGCTCAGACGTCAGAGAGGAAGTGCAATAATCAGACTTCAGTCTTCTCCGTTGAAATCAATGGGGTCGCTTTGTCCATTTCTTTTACTGTCTTTGGCAAAACCAGCAATGAAGGTTTGAGAGGTGGTGCCCCGCAAATTTCGTGAGAATCAAGGCTTGCTTTACAAGACAACGTCACATACATCAACCACATATGAAGCAGCCTCTATGGAAGACACCAACACGAATTTCAGACATGAATCATGGGAGAGTCGACGAAGAAAACACGGTCTGAAGGAAGGAAAAGAAAACAAGAAACTGACTGCGTGAGGAACCAGACAAGAGTCCCACTCAGTCAGGATTTCACTCGTTGGCGAGACTCTAGGGGTCGCTGTTTGAAAAAAAAAAAAAAAAAACGGAAACTTCATAGTACACAAAGTCATATACATGTTAATTAGAGACAATATGCATCAAACGACAAGGGTTCTATTTTCGGCTGACAGCTAAATGATTATCTCACGTGTTTGTACTTAAGTTTTTAATTTGATTTGAGTTTGGATATCATATATACCAACTTAAATATAGCCACGATAAATGTGACAATGGATAATTTGTCTCAGATCTTGAAAACAAAAGAAAGGTATGAGTCACTAAATATTTTAAATAATATTAAAATGGTTTAACTTTCATTAAATCGATTAAATACTTGGTAACATCAATTTTGTTGCAAGTGTGAGACAGCTGTGCACTGCAATTGCAGAGAGTCCGACCACACGCTCTTCTGATTGGCTGCGATTTGTGATTTATTTGGTCGCATTAGGAATCTTATCGCATACGTTGTGTTTTGGGTATGTTGATTTATGAGAGTCAATATAATGTTGATTAACCAAGCTTTGCAGGAACACATAAAACTCAATTAAATAAATAAATAATAACAATCAAGAAAATCTCACATTTGAAGATTTCCGTGCAACAAAACTATAAAGGTCACAGGCCAAAACCAGCAAATATTCCCACATGTACTTTGTGTTACATTCAATATAAAATCCAAGCAGTCACCCAATGTCACAAGCCCAGAATGGGAACCAAACAAGCAAAGCTTCTGAACATGAAAGAAGGCGACATCTTCAAATGGACTGTCAAAAGAGTATTTATGGCATCTGAAAATAACTGTGGCCACACAAATATGATTTAACCAAAAACTTGTGGAGCCCATTCAAAAGAATGTTATTGATCCACAAATCCAAACATAAAGAAAAAAAAAAAAAACCATTGCGGCTGCCGAATATTTGTAGCCCTCATTTCCAGTCAAGCAAGTTGTTAATGATTTTGTTGTTCAGTTTTAGCTCAGAGCTGCTCTTACTCACACATACTGTGGTGAAGTGATGCTAGCCTGCTGAAGGAGAGAGAAACATGAAAACAGGATAACAGGGAGGGAAAGAGAGTCTCTGAGAGTCACTCACTGATGAATTTATTTTGCATAGCCTCCAGTAGGGCCTGGTGTGCGTTTTCAGTCTGCATGGAGGTAGAGCACTCTCTGGCCAACATGGTGCGAATCAGGTGCTCCCCAGACCCTGTAACAGTACAGACAAGACCCACATTCAATAATTTCATATAAAAATAAAACATAAATTAAAAAATAATAATAATAAGACATTATGTGTATTGTACAACTGCGTGTAAATTTACAATTTAATGTTTGGAACAGTTAGTTCCAGTTCTGGTTGTCTGTGTTCATGCCCTGGAGTTCATGTTATTTTCATACTGAATTGCAATTTGTCTGTGTATTTGCATAATGAATTTAGGGCTGCCCCCTAATAGTCAAATGAACATTCGATAAGAGGCAAACAAGAGGGTAATTATGTCAAGCAAGAAATCGAAAAGTTCACCTATCATTCATCGATCTCAAACATGGCTTATCATTTGAAAAATGCTAGTGGCCTAACGTTAGCCACTTTACATGGTCACTCGCTCTAACAATATAGCTTTATCTGTGCACTTGATTCATAGTATTTTAATAACCAATTCCATAACCAATTTGAAATGATTTGAGCTTTGTGACATGATGCTTTATTCTGCTGGAAGTAGCCATTAGAGGATGGGTACATACATAGTGGCCATAAAGGGATGGACATGGTCAGAAACAATGCTCAGGTAGGCCGTGGCATTTAAACAATGCCCAATTGGCACTAAGGTGCCTAAAGTGTGCCAAGAAAACATCCCCCACACCATTACACCACCGCCACCAGCCTGCACAGTGGTAACAAGGCATGATGGATCCATGTTCTCATTCTGTTTACGCCAAATTCTGACTCTACCATCTGAATGTCTCAACAGAGATCGAGACTCATCAGACCAGGCAACATTTTTCCAGTCTTCAACTGACTAATTTTGGTGAGCTCTTGCAAATTGTAGCCTCTTTTTACTAATTGTAGTGGAGATGAGTGGTACCCGGTGGGGTCTTCTGCTGTTGTAGCCCATCCACCTCAAGATTTTTCGTGTCGTGGCTTCACAAATGCTTTGCTGCATACCTCAGTTGTAACGAGTGGTTATTTCAGTCAAATCTGCTCTTCTATCAGCTTGAATCAGTCGGCCCATTCTCCTCTGACCTCTAGCATCAACAAGAAATTTTCGCCCAAAGGACTGACGCATACTGGATGATTTTCCCTTTTCACACCATCTTTGTAAGCCTAGAAATGGTTGTGCGTGAAAATCCCAGTAACTGAGCAGATTGTGAAATACTCAGACCGGCCCGTCTAGCACCAACAACCACGCCACACTTGAAATTGCTTAAAATCGCCATTCTTTCCCATTCTGACATTCAGTTTGGAGTTCAAGAGATTGTCTTAACCAGGAACACACCCCTAAATGCATTGAAGCAACTGTCATGTGATTGGTTGATTAGATAATTGCATTAATGAGAAATTGAAAAAGTGTTCTTAATAATCCTTTAGGTTAATGTGTATACACTCACCTAATTTCGGTTCAATTTCTCATGTGTGAAAAGGGAAAAACATCCAATATGCGGCAGTCTTAAGGCCTTATTGCCTTATTGATGCTAGAGGTCAGAGGAGAATGGGCTGACTGATGATTCAAGCTGCGTATGTGTGTGTGTGTGTGACTGTGTGCGTGCTTTAATACAATTTTAAATGTATTAAATTTGTTTGGCAAGTCAGGTGTCCCCATGGGAATTAAGAACATGTAAAATATAAGAATAGTAAATCTCACTGTCAAGACACTGAAGACACTCACAGTCATTTGCCTTTCAAAGGCACCCATGTATAGCAGCCAGTTTTCAAAAGGGAGGGAGGGTAAAGAAATGCCTTAAACACAAAATGTCTGGCAGCCTCTGAAACCATAAAGCCTTAAGAAAATAGCCGTGTTGTTTCTGTAAACACAAACGTGGGCCCCGTAAAATATCAGGTAACTACAACAAAACTCTGTGCGGGTTTGTTGCCATGACAATTAGATGCTAATTTCTTTTCTTTTCTTCTTTTTTGTTGTTTTAACAAAAGAATGAATAAACGACTGGCTCCACCATTGGCTCACTATTTCCAAGTTACCGTAAACCCTCTCATTCTCTCTTGAGAAATGAATGTTACTGGCAACAATATCACAAGTTAACAGTTAATTTAACAAGCAAACAGTGCCATGATAGTGCAAACTCAATTTCCAGTGGAAAGTAAATAAAACACAACAAACCAGAGATGGCATACAAGGGGCAAACTTGGCAAAAGGAATCAACACTGACCCTCAGCGAAACCACAACGAGCGCTGACGAGACTAACATGGTTGACCTGGGAGAAAACGAGCTCTTTGTGTCAGTATGAAGCCAGAATGATTGTTTTTCTCCTCCTTTTGATAGGAACGCCTTTTAAGTTGGGAAATGAAAAGCAGGTGCACCGCTGGAGCGCACACTCGAACGGCCTGTCTTCACCACCATGAGTTTTCAATTTTGAGGAGGATGAAAGAGAAATGCATGCTGAAACAGCCATGGGGGGAGAAGGTGATAAAATGTGTGATTCTGCTTTTGTTTTTAGAATGGCGGACGATCAAAAACAAAGAGGCACAAAACACAAGTAAGTTCCGTGCCTGTTGCACATGAGTTTGTGCGATTATAAAGTAAAAATGTCAAAAGGGAGCACACGTGTAAAACAGTGCTCGTAATATTTCAGACCTGTTGAAGCAAGCAATCGGAGATCTCACAAAACCTATCAAGAACATGTCCATGAGTAATATTTCCCATCTAAAAAAAAAAAGATACCATTAAGATTGTTCCATAAAGGTTTCATTTTCTTGAAAAAAACTTTCCACTGAATTCTCATTACATCATTACAGAAAAGGAAAAAAGCAATCTTTATTTAATTTTTCTTTTTAAATTTACTTTATCACTGTGATGAGAACAAATGTCATACAGAGTAGCAGAAAAAACAAAAACATTTTGGGGATGTATGTGCATAAATATATAATGCTCATTTTTGAAATGAAGATACCAATGGTGAAAAAAACAACACACACACACACACACACACACACACTAAACTGCAATAGACATAGCAAAATCCCTCTAAAAGCCTGTGTGGCCAACACCATCAACATTTTTTTTTTTTTAACCAGAGGAAATCATACATGCTGCACCCCTGTGCAACATGCCAAGCTTGAATGAATCCCAGTCTCTCTGCAATGGGCCAGGTGTGTGTTCACTGCAGAGCTCAGGCCAGGCCAAAGGTGCTTTCACACAAGGGTGCCGCAGAACAAAGGATGAAGGAAAAGAAAAGAAATATGGCCTTCATCTTAACTTAACACTCTTTGGAAGTTGTGTAAGTGATTATGGCACAGGGAAGCATATTAACAGAGGCTACAGTTCGACAATTCAAAGCCAAGTAGAGCTTTTTACAAGGTGTCTGGTTGTTAAAGCAATGTCACTGCCTCGTGAAATATTATAATAAAGTTTCAGGTGCAGTTATGCACCATGTCGTGGTTCTTAAAGTATGTGCAAATTTACTGCACTGGATGGGGAGATGGGATAAATTAAATTAATACATGCAACATCAACATAATGCACAATGAAAATCTTCCTTTATCACCCTTAATGTTCACTCCTTCCCAATCAGCAAAGCCATAGCATGTCTGACCGAATCTTGCCATTAGTTGCTAAGAGGATATTCGTACCCAAAAAGTGTTGTGATGAGACATATCCACCCAAACAGAGATTTCATCTTTTCTTTTATCTTCAATTCAAACATAATCGTCTTGTCCTCGTCCATCTACCCATGAATAACAATCTGTCTTTCATCATTACTGCTTTAAGAAATCCAAAATCCTCAATGGACTGCCTTGTGTATGTGTTGTATAGAGATGTGAATCATGTCTGTGGACTATTGACTTGGGCACAGGCAATATAAGGAATAAAACCTGGTTTTATTCATGTGACAGAGAGCATTAGTTTAAAACGTGAAATGTACGGCCTTGGGCCCCGCTCACGGCAGGAATCCCAAGTAAAGCAGACATTTAAAGCAGACACTGGCAAATGACAATAAGATGTTAGAGGGACGGATTGACATTAATATCAAGGCCAAAGAATAAACAGAAAATGAGGTTGGATGACATAGATTTTTTACTACAATTAGAAATTAGATATTTTTTTAACGATTGTAATTCGGCACAAATTTCTTAAACAATGACTCAAGTGACCGACTGAACCCTTGCAAAACCTGTCAAAAAGCAGTGAATATTATATACAGTAATGTCACACTAATATGACTCCGGTGTGTTTGATACCTGAGGTACTCACAGCTGTAGAGTAAAGGCTGACGTCTCGAGCGTTTTCAGCCCAGCAGCCACACCCATAGTGAGCAGCCTAAGAAAGATATGAAGAAAAACATATTGAAAAGAATGTCTGCTGCAGTTTAATTGAATAAATGAAAACATTTTTGATTACACATCTAACCTGTTTATAAAGCACGTATAACCTACACTGTGAAAAGATCTAATTTCAGTGCAAATATTTGCAATACTGTTCAAATGTCTGAGGTCAGTAAGATTTTTTAAATCTTTTTTTAAAGAAAAAATACATTTTATTCAGCACAAATGCATTAAATTGATTAAAAGTGACTTTAACATTGTAACAAAAAATACTATTTATATAGTATTACTAGTTCGATTAATTCAAAAAATCTGAAAAAAATGATCATGCTTTCCATAAAAATATTAAGACTGTTTTCAAATGTATACAAAAAGCATTTCTTAAAGCATAAAATCAGCATATTATGATATGAAGCTTATTTTAAATGTACTATTTCACAATCTTACTCTTTTTACATTATGTTTGAAAAAAAAAATCCAGCCTTTAAGATAAGATCATTGGCAAACACGATAGAGGATGGATACCCGAACCGAGCCCAAAGGGACCCGAAGGATGTTCGGGTTCGGGTCGGGCTCGGTCACGTCGGCGCGATAAGGCATTGAACATTTGAAATTTAAAACAGTTAAAAAAAAAAACAATAATAATATTGTTTAACTGGATGCAAATGTTTGTTTTTGTGATAAAAATAATTTTCAAATATTAACCTAACCTCCATCTCCATGTGTGCAGAAATTTGTTTATGTTTCTGTGACAACGTGCAACACGTGCGTGCATAATATTGCATATTTGGCTACATGTGGCTGGCAGCGCAACAATGGAAGACGTTAAAAAGAAGTTGGCCTCAGGAGATTTTAAAACCACCAAAAATAAAGGAAAGTCGACTGTGTGGAAGTTTTTCTGCATTGTTGTCAAGGCCGATAGTGATGAACATGTTGGTTATGTTCAATGCTTTCACACAAGAAAGCAGGGGAGTTGTGGATTTCTCATGAACTATGACAGCAAGAGGACCGGGAATTCCGCCTTGCAGCGTCATGTGGATAAAAAGTCACCTGGGCTACTGCAGCCGAGTGTCACTGCCTTTGCTAGTTCCTCCAAAAAAAAAAAAAAATCCTCAGCGGGACAAACAAAAACTGACTGAGAAATGCGTTGAGTACTGCTGTAAAGACATAAGGCCATTTCGTTCTATTGAAGGAGAGGGTTTCATTGAGCTGGCCCAGCAGCTTATTAACATCGGTGCTACATATGGTTCAGTGGCAGTGCAGGATGTACTGCCTGATCCCACCACTGTGTCAAAACGGTGCCTTGAGCTGGCAATAGAGAAACGCACAAAGCTGGTCGAGCAGCTAAATAACTGATTATTAAATGACTGAGGTGAATTCGATCGGAATGACAACGGATATCTGGACGGAAGACTACCACAAATCAAGCTACTTGACCATCACTTGCCATTTCGTGACACGATCATTTAAAATGATAAGCACCGTATTAACAACAGTCGCATTCCCACTGGAAGAGGCTAAGACGGGAGAATATTAGGAGAGAAATCAACAGACTTCTAACCGAGTATGGCCTGGATATGAGTCTGCTGAATAAAGTGGTATGGATGACAGACCAAGGCTCAAACATCATCAGTGCCCTCAGACCATATCGAAGACTTGACTGCCAAGATCACGTGTATAATAGGGTGATGAGACACGCCTAGACCCCACACATCTGGCCCAAGATGCTCCAACTGTTGCAGACACTCTGCAAGCTACCAAGGCACTTGTCGTCAAATGTCAAAAAGTCGGGCAGGGCAGCTTTGCTGTCAAAAACAGTCATTCAAATGGCAGACACAAGGTTTAATACGGTATATCTGACCTTGAATTCTGTCCGCTCGGTTTATCAAGAACTACGCGAAAAATTAATGATTGCGCAGAGGGCTGGCAGATCGATGTCATATCTCCAGATGTCCTTGACTTTCTTGTCGAGTTCCTCAACCATTTTACGATGCCCAGCGTGAACTTGAAGGTGACCAGTACCCAACGATAAACCTAGTGTTTTTGTGGTTTGAGCGGCTGAAGCGTCACTGCACAAAAAAAACAAAAAAACAACTGACAGCCCATCAAGCCATCATCCGCGAGCGGCATCTCTGTTGGACTTTGCATAAAGTGGAGATGCAGGAAGTCCAAAAAAGTGCAACTTTCCTTTGGCCTTAATATAGCCAGCTCCGAATGCTGTCCTCCTCAGAGAGAGACAACCTTCTCCAGGAGGTTCGGAGACAGTTTAGTGACATCCGCACCCAGGAGACTGCCACTGAAGGACCCGCGTCCAAGACAGCTGCAGTTGACTTTGACAACGAGTGGGAAAATGTACCTGTGGCAGATGCCACAGACGAAGTCGAGCTGTACTCGACTCAAAATCATACAATGCAGGATGACAGAGATGTTTTGGGCTGGTGGAACGATCATCAACTCAACTACCCGAAGCTTAGTGTCCTTGCCCGCGGCATCCTTGCTATTCCAGCCAGCAGCAGCAGCAGTGAGCGCAACTTCAGTGCTGCTGGCAGGACCATCGAGACAGCCGTGAAGCCATCCACCGTTGATGCAATCCTTTTTCTGCATAATAACCTGGATTATCCTAAACCTTGAAGGATAGATTGTGAATAGATCCCATGTTACAGTTTTATTAGCCACACAGTTTCCAAGAAAAATGGTAAGAGTTTTCATTTCATTAAGCTTATAGGCCTACATTTAATAAGTGTTATGTTAATGTTTTGTTCTGTTAGCTTGGGTAATTTAATATAGACCTAGCTTTGTTAATTTAATTTCAATTGGTTATTTGTTTGGGCCTCTTGTGCGCACCTGTGTTAACATGCGCTGTGTTGGCCGTGTTGGCTGATGCGTTGCGCACATCTGTAAACATTTCCGGATGCCTTCCAGTTGCTAAATAAAAGCGGGCCTTCTACACAAATAAACATACGTGTCATTAGTATGACAAAAAAAAGATTTTTAACTGTGTCGGGCTTGGGTCGGGCTCGGACATAAATATCGTAATGTCTGTTGGGCTAAGGTCGGGTTCTGGTACTGCCCTGTCGGACGCAGGCCAGGCTCGGACAGAAAAATGCGGCCCGATCTGCACTCTAAAACACGAGCCCCTTTTACACAGCGCGTTGATCCTGGGGAATTGCCGGGAAATTCCCAGAACGCCTTCTGTGTGAATGCAAACACGACCCAGGATTGATAGTGACATCGGTGCCGGGTTGGGGACCTAGTCACATTGCCAGAATCAGTCCCGGAACGGACGCAGTGTGAACAAAACCCAGGACCAATGACGTAAGGGGTGTGTCATAGTAATGAAACTCGTGCCATCGCGCGACTCTGTTGCTCTTAGAAGAAAGTTGGTGTTCATCAACAAAGAAAGGACGAACAAATGTCTGCAAACTGGAACGAAGCAGAGACCAGGAGCTCCTTCACCAGCTTTGTGGAACGGTATGCGCGTGTACAAGTTTGAAACGTACGTTACACGTCTCATCCTAACGTCATTTGTCTTTACGGGATCTTTACGGGTTGTGTGTGAACACGCTCATAGATCCAGGCAATCACTGGCAGTGTGAATGAACCGAAATCAAACAATCTCGGGAAAAATGCCGGGTCACATTATCCGTGTATTTTCGGGAATCTCTGTGTGAAAGGGGCTACGGAAACACAGAAAAAAACAAAAGGTCACCTGTCCAACCCGACCCGGGTGTTTCATGGCCAGACCTCCACTGGATACTGCAGCTGCCACATTCCCATCCCGATCCACTACGACCGCACCGACTGTATCCAGACAGGCTGAGTTATTCTCCTCACCCTCCACCATGATGTCTCCTACTGGCTCCAAGCAGCCTAAATCGTTCTCCTGCGCACACAATTGCCATTCAATTAGAATTTCCAATCGCACACAGATAATAAACAGCACTATTCTGCAGTCTAACGTCCTGAGTTCATTTAAACGGTGAAATCAGTAATAAAATGTAAGTGTCAATGTATCTTCATGCTAAACCGTGGGCCAAAAAATAGGAACAAAGAGAATGTGGTTACTGGCAACTTAAAAAAAAAAACCACTCATTTCCAAAGCCCAGAATAATACTAGATTGAAACATACTGAACATTGCTTCTCTTGCAATATTTTTTTTTTCTTTCTTGTCTATGAAGTAGACTTTCAGACCCAGCTGGCTACCATAACCAAATGTGAAGTTTGTCAAACTGGGGAACTGAAATACACATTGCTATCTAGCTTGAGCAAACAAAGTCCAATTACATATCAGCATCTGAAAAATGATCCCCATGCTCTCATTTATAATGAGTAAAGTGGTCATTTTAAAGGACTGTTTTCATTTGCTGATTGCTGTGTACTTTGGAAAGAAAGTTGATGTGGACTGCAAGAGTCATGTGGAGCCGCTTGACAAATTGGCCGATCCTGGGAAAATGCGGAAGGGGACGTGATGACTTATAATTTATAATTTCATTTTCCCATGAACAGAGTGTCATTACTAGGCCATGGATCCTCTGAACTTTCTAAAATATGAGTGAACAGGCTAAAAAAGAATGTTATTATTATTGATCTCACAATCAGCGATAAATCTGACAGAATCAACTTCAGAACAACATCTGCTCTCACAGACCTTTCCAAAGAGGAGCTTCATTTTTTTTCTCTCCTTAAAGGGTAGCTGTTTGTATAACCTTCATGTCTTAAAAAATATTCTGTCTCTTTTTCGGTGTGTCATAAAAGCAGTTAGTAAAAATATTCTATCAACTTACTTCAATTAAAGGAGTAGTTCACTTTAAAAAAAACAAAAAACTTTTGCTTATAATTTACTCACCCCCATGTCATCCAAGATGTCCATATCTTTCTTTCTTCAGTCAAAAACAAATTAAGGTTTTTGATGAAAACATTCCAGGATTTTCTCCATATAATGGACTTCAATGGGAACCAAAGGTCCAAAGCCCTTTGAAGCTGCACTGAAACTCTCATTTGGACCTTGAACCGTTTGGTTCCCAATGAAGTCCATTATATGGAGAAAATCCTGGAATGTTTTCATTAAAAACCTTAATTTCTTTTCGACTGAAGAAAGAAAGACGTGGACATCTTGGATGACATGGGGGTAAGTAAATTATCAGTGAACTACTCCTTTAAGTTATTGTTTCCGATCTGTTTCTGTAAATAAACAAAACAAATTTGTCAGGGTTTTTTATACTTTTTGACCAATGAATTCCAAGTCCCTCTATTTTATGGTGACTTTTCAGGCAGATTTCAATGTATACAGCAGGTACCTTTTTTGAAGTGATATATTTAAAAAAAACACATTGTTGATTGTTTAACAATTCTTTTTTTTTTTTTTTACAGTAGAAATTAAGACCTCACTTAATTCAGATACTTAGATACTTGAAAACCGTAAAGATATAAGATTCCCAAAAATTCCCAAGTTTCCCACAACTGTGGGAAACCTTCAATTTTAAAGTCATATTTCTATGAAGCACAAGTGCACCCACTCACTCACATAAAAGAAGTTACATAAACATCTTAATTCTGAGAAGTATGCATTAAAATTGAGTGAGAACCCCTAGACTCCAGGCCATCCATGCCATAAAAATGCATTACATCCCCAGTAAAACAATAAATATGGCACTTATAAAATCAAACAAACCACATGCCACTTGAGATGAGGCTAGGAAATGTGTTGTTATCTAAAAGACCATTTAATGCATAGCTTTGAAAAAAAATGAACTGAACTGAACTGAAGAAAGACCATGTGGCATCCCAGAGGCACAGATCATTCATGCAGAAAGAGCCAACAGCGATCACTCACTTCAAACTGATGCTATCTTTAAAACAAACCTTACAAGGTTCGAACTCCGAACACAAATACCACATAAACCGAACCAAGTTAGACTGCGACGTATTTGTCTTTCCTGTCAAATAACATTTCGCCCACATTCAGACAGTATAATTTGCAACTAATGACCCAGGAGTGACCCACGTTTCACTTTCTCATTGGGACCACACAAGCGTCACATCACGGATGGATCTGAGCTGGAAGCCATTTTCCCTCGACACCTGCATTCCATGTGTACCTGTCAAATCACTTCCTTGAAAATTCACCAAAAAAGTAGAAGAGATGCTAACATGTTCAAGCACATTACGGGAAATAATTCGGTGAAATAACTTCAAGATGTTGCCGTGGGAAATTGGGCGGCGGGGTGGTGCTGAAACACGAATGCCTCAAACACACAAATGCATTGATTTTTGTTCCTTAAAAATAAGGCCTAAATGGTCCACAAAATAAATTAAGGATTTGAAACGGCTCTGACATAAATATGTAAAAAGATAAAAGTTTTCAAGTCTACCAGGTGAACTCATGCTTCTCAGGTCAGTAACAAGAAGCTACAAAAGAGCATCAGAGAACTGTGTCACCCAAGTTAAATTCCTTGCGTGCAGTGCCATGTCAGCAGTTCAGCAAGTATCCGTATGTGTGTTTCCTGTGATTGTGAGTAATTGAGGTCTCCACACCCCCCTTTAAGGTCGTCATTACCCAATGGGTTTCCTCCTCTGGGTATATGTGGTGGTTTTGAATTAGAGGACTGAACAGATGCAGATCCTGTTATCAGTCGAGTAATAATGTCAGAGCAAATGCCTCCGCTGCACTGTGTTTAGGCCTAATTAAATGTGTCGCACTAAATGGGAGGGTGGAAACCTATAGATCATGGAGCATTTATAGGAGAAACTTGCATATTTAGTTCTGTCTTTTTTTTTAATCAGAGTTTAAAGAGCACATATGTCAAAAATCAAGAGCATATCCTGAATGTTTGTGTGTTCCCTTTTATTAAAAAAGAAACTCCTAAAATTGTGACTGATCCAGACCGACAAAGGACATGACATTTCGACGGCAGCTTGGTTTCTAATTCTGAAGGCTGGGTAGCCCAGCCCATACTAAAATGTCATTGGTTCTCTCCACATAACAGTATATTAAATATAAAATATGGACTGATTGATTCATGTTATGCAGAGGTTTTGCATTCAGTGAGAAGAGAAGAATGCAACCTGATTAATGAATATATTTAATTTATTATGTTAACAAGTAAATGCTATAATCATATTTAATATTTAAATATTGAATTATTTATATACTATGTTAATTTAATAATTATATTTACCTGGAATAAATAATGCAATTGTTAGATTTTTTTTTTTTTTTTTTTTTTTGAGCCTTGAGTTTAACAGTGATATTTAAAAGGTATAATACATTTTGGTTAGTAAGAATATAATTATGATTTACAGAGGTAATCGAAATTATTCACCCCCCCTTGCTAATCAGGTTTATGGGTAAAATTTACAGACTTTCAGCAATTTGCAATGAACAAATCGAACAAAAGTAACTGAAATAGCTCAATACGACAAATATTTCAAGTGGTTTCCCCAAAGTCAACTGAAACTTAAGACTTCTGCAGTCTCAAAATTATTCAACTCCTTCATGGCATGCATCTTCAGTGCTCAGTAGAACATAACTTTGCTGTTATGACCTTCTGCAAACGAGATGTATAATCAGTAGGGGTGTAACGGTACACAAAAATCACGGTTCGGTACGTACCTCGGTTTTAAAGTCACGGTTCGGTACGTTTTCGATACAGCAAAAAGAAAGAAATGCCAGAGAAATTTTCTATTTGTTTAAAGAAAAAATATTTTTAAATAAGTGTGAGTTTTCCTAGATCTTGAAACTTTCAGGTTTATAAATAGGGGTCATCTTTGAAGGATGAACAAATAATGTTTTGGTCATCACATTAAAAATAACATTTAAATATATATTTATTTATATAATATTTGAATTTTGAAGTGCTGAAAAAAGATGTGTGAAGTACTTGAAAGCATTTCACCATTCCAGCCAAACTGGTTCCAGTTAGTGTTACTATATTAAATCCATGGTGAATGTTGCTGGTCTGTGGACGTAAAGTACTAGTTCATTCACAGCACAATGTTTCTCCTGGTTTCCATGACAGCGCTGTTTGATCTAATAGAGATCTGCGGTTAATAACGGAGAAATGTGAATGCATCTCACTAGATCTCGCAGCGATGTTATTACCTCAGTGGCGAATTCAAATGTTTTCTTTACCGGATCTCTTAGCGCTGTGTGGTAACAGTGTTGCTTGATCGAGATCGGCTCGCGCTGCACAGATGTTGCTGGTCCGAACTGATAAACGATCCGTGAAGCACATAACGAGGAGCGCAGTTTCGTTCTGCTTTCATTACGATTGCCATTTGGATGTTGTGCAACGTTGTGTTGGCCGCGTCAGCACAAATTTTGCCGGCAAGAAAAATGGTCCAAGCAATCGTTCGGTTTGTATGCGTACCGAACCGGAAGCCTCGAACCGAAACGGTTCAATACGAATACATGTACCGTTACACCCCTAATAATCAGACACCAGCTTCTGGCAGCGTTTCTGAGGAATCTTAGCCCATTCATAATGAGCAATAGTCTTGTGTTCAGTAATATTCGTGGGTTTGCGTGCTGCAACAACTTTTCTTCAAATTCCCACCAGAGATTTTCTATGAGGTTCAATTCAGGTGACTGTGATGGCCACTGTAGAATCGTCAAGGACTTTTTCTGCAAGCAAGCCTTGGTGGAATTTGAGGTATGCTTGGGATCCTTGTCCTGTTGGAAGGTCCAACGACGCCCAAGCTTCAGCTTCCTCAGTCTAGGCACCACATATCTTTCCTGATATACAGAAATGAATCAATCTTGCCGTCCACATGCTGCAGGTTTCCAGTGCCAGAGGATGCAAAGCAGCCCCAAAGTATCACAGAGCGACAACCACTGAAAGTCTGTAAATATTCCCAATAAACCTGATTTGCAATGGGTGTTGAATAAATGATTACAACTGTAATACTATTTATTATTATTAACTTTATAAATAGTTTGGCGTTGAACATGTATTCATTTTAGACCTTGGTTGGATGGGATGTAATTGTTTGTATAACATGAGCCCAAAAATGAGAGGTGACCCAATAATTTTGCAGGTTCACTCACGTGTCCACACAACTGTCTTCTCCTCTTTGTCTCGACCTGCTCTGCCAGCTCCATCTTCCTCTTGTTCCTCTTGTAGCCTGACAAACTGAACTCTGTAGAGTGTTGAAAAAGGTATAAGTCAATAATAGATTTTACTCCACTGCTTTGACTTCTAATCCAAAAAAACTTTGTCTGTGTTATGAGTCATGAGATAATGACAAATGTTTTGCTCCTGTGCCCTTATTGCTTAGATTATTAGTAGTAGTATTATTCATGATTATATATTATAATAAGGGTGTGTGTTTGGCGGGGGGAGCCTTTCCTCTCACAATAAATCAGTCTATTGGTGGAAATGTGGTTGATCCCTAAATAATGGGACATGTGTTGGAATGAGGTCATGGTTCTGGCATCAGATCATTTCCAACTCTGACAACACACACTCTATCGCTGTCTGACACACACTGGGAGTCGGCATGGGGCCCGCTATTAAAGTATAGAAGCCAGTGTTTACCAAATACTGCATTCCACTCCTGTGAAAATCTCTTAATCAAAGAAAATGAATCAATGAAATGGGCACAATTAAGTCATTTTGCACAATTGGATGGAATGCAATTAGGGCTGGTAAAAATAACACTGAGTCACTTAAAAATACTCCAAAAGATGAGATCACATGTCGTCTTGCCAATCATGATTCAATGAAATGATTACATGCAACTGTCAAGACTTACAACTGAGATAAAAGGCAGTGGTTTTGGTAAAAACATCAACATATAACAGATTACACGTGTAGTATGCTGTAACCTGTGGGAATTCACTTAAAAGACAATATAAGAATTGGCCTGAAAGAAATACAAGTGCTTTCAAGGCACTGCTGAAATAAAATGCTGCATCAGAACCCACTTCAGTGAGAGGTGTTTGCGGTCGGTTTCACTCAATAATCAACATGTAGCTAAATGGTTAAATATATACAATGAATATAAACCATCAAAATTCAGCATCCAAACTAGAGTCTGAGAGATACAAATTTTATGATTATATTACTGCTGCCAGTAACAATTGTATAATGAACAATTACGTCAATGGTAAACTTTTTAAACTTTAATCTTATACCTTAAGTATAAGTCTACGAAATATTTTAAGTAGAAGTATAAAATGAAAAAACTAAATAAATTATAAAATATAAAATGTTAAGTTTCAGGTTTAAGTGCAGTAGTGTGAAAGTTTAGGGGTCTGAAAAACTCAATACAAGGAATTTCAACACAATTCTGCACCTTCAAAGGTAACTTAAATCACACCTAATTCCCTAAATGAATATTAAAAAATATATAAATGCTGGGGATTATAGAACAAAAACGTTCGACATACAACAAATTATTCTACGTTATTGTGCAAAAACAGTTGACCGAAACCGAAAATTTCTGGATGCACTTGGCCGAAAATCAAAACAGCCTTTTAAAAACTATTTATTTTAAAATTAGCTTTTTTGTATAATTGACTTTTTTTAAATAAAATTCAATAATTATAATGTTACTGGACTTAAAAATACAAGCCAATAAAATAACCACACTTTTATTTAAAGTAAAACTAAAATTGGACAGAAAATATTTTATGATTAAATATCAATTATTCAGTTTTATGTAACAGAATCAGGTTTAACAGATTTAACGGCCGATAATTAGAAGATTCTGTTCTATGTAATCACTGTCCACAGTTTCAGTCAAAATCTGTAAAAACATTACAACAATAACATTTTATTTTATAGTTGGCATTTGTATAAAAATAGCAATGTCAAGCACCCTTCACTTTCATGTTTAGCGTTATGGAAGTCTTGCACACTAGCAAATGTCTCACTAGCATAAAAAAACAAACTCCATGGTATAAACAAATTTCTTGTATTATAATGTATTAATATAATTAATTATTGAGAACAATACTGGTTACAGCAACAGTGAAAGCACAAATATTGTGAATGTTTTGTATAACGGGTTAAAACTCCACCGCAGGCTTCAAACAAAACCTCACTGCATTATATGAGAGAATAAAACCACAAACACTTCTATTAAAGTTATCTGGATGCCAGTCACACCTTACAGATCCAAAGAGAGAGGAGGTAATCTTGTTGCTTACATAAGACCTTTCATTTCATTTAAAACAACACTACTGTGCTTCTTTACTTAAGAAAATATATGAGCATTTTAACATTTTTACCTCCCGTTTTCCCCTAATTATGTAGAATAACGGTATTTAAAATCACTTTTCAGTTTCTACATGTACTTTTTAGCTTATTTCACTAATAAAAGTGATTAAGTTGTTAATCACAATATTCAGTAACCCAAAGACACATCCTGATCTGTATTATTATTACATTCAAATCTAATAAAAAAGACTGCAGTCAAAGCAGCTGAAAGAAGAGTGTGGGTGGTCTGACACTCACTGGTGGTCATCTTCTCTGTAGGGCATGCTGGGATCCCATGGCTGATGGCCCACTGTTCTGCTCCTTTGCCCACTAAGAAACTAACAAAGCAGAGATGTGATTTACATAAAAGGAGCAATTGCATCACACTACAAAAAGTTATACTTCTGTACTGATCAGCTGCATTTATTTGATCCAAATAACAAAAACAGTAATATTGTGAAATATTTTTACAATTTAAAATAACTTATTTGTTTGAATATATCTTAAAAATGCAATTTATTCCTGTGATGGCAAAGCTGAATTTTCAGCATCATTACTCCAGTCACATGATCATTCTGATATGCTGATTTGGTCCTCAAGAAATGTATTATACAAGAAAGTTTATTATTATTATTATTATTATTATTATCAATGCTGAAAACAATTTATTTGTCAAAACATGGTTTTGTTTCAATGATTCTTTGACGAAGAGAAAATTTAAAAGAACAGCATTTATCTGAAATAGAAAGCTTTTGTAACATATAAAAATGTCTATACTGTCACTTTTGATCAATTTAATGCATCCTTGCTGAATAATATATATACTGTATATATATATATATATATATATATATATATATATACACATAGATATAGATATGGATAGATAATTTAAAACCTAGTCAATATGAAAATGTTCGTTTGAAAAGTGTTTTTGTGTTATCTTAAAATAAACACAACTTGGTGTGATAGTTATCAAAGGAATCTAGCACAAGTAAATACTTTTAGGGGCCACTGCGATCTACAGAATATGTCTTTATCTATGACTGGCACCCATTTCCTATAGCTAAGAAAATACACTTGCTACATTTGTCACAACAAGACAAATGCATTTAGTCAGAGCATGTTTTGTCTTGCTCAAAGTTAGTACTTCTACTTTAATTCTGTGCATACTGGGATTGACATGCTGCTGTTTCACACCAGAATATTTGCCCTGAGGCATCAATGAAGTATGCCAGTCTATGCATAAGTTGAAAGCCAGAAAGCCAACATCTTGGCTCACCAGGGAGGGATCCTGCCAGCTGATAGCTTCCCCTTCTGAGTTTCACTTAATAATCTTCTGGCTACCAGCACTGGGTTCTTGATTCCTGATAGAAAGAGCAGCATTAGTATCACTTTTGCTCAAGACAGCTTTAAATATGGAAGATGAAACCTGCATTTGGCTTCCTCGAGCACTTTTGTTGAAGAATGTTTTGGAGTTCAATGCACCCAGAAAAAAAAAGAAAAAAAAAAAGAAGAAAAATATAAAATATTATTTGAAAAATAATAATTAAAAATAACACAATGTTTCACTAATATCAGTGTTAAACTAAATAAATAAATGTCCTTTATATTCTATGTGGATTAGCAGAATATTTCAAGACACAGCATGTCAAATCACGTTTTTCTAGTTTCAAAGAGTTTGGGGTTAAATCAGTCCTGTTTTGTGCCTCAGTTAGTTTTGAGTGAAAAGGGGTAGCGTATATAATTATTTATGTATAAAATTGACATTTATTTTTTAAATAAACAAATAAAAAATATATATATATATTTTAGCCACTTTCCTATAAAGGGCTAAGGAGGTTACAAGTTGGCCTTAATTTGATTGGCTTGAAATTCCAATGGCACCTTTAATCACATGACAAAAAGCTCAAACCAGCACCCACCACTCAAGGCTCCAACAGCTCCATAGTTTAAGGACTTCCCATCCATGATGCTGGCATCACACTCAATCTCACCCGACAGATTCAGGTTTGAACCTGTACCCGCATTGGTGAACGGGGAGTCCTAAAAATAAACATCAACCTCAAAGTTAATTTCTTTCTCTTCTAAAATAATAAGAAACAAGCAGTGGTGGACAGTAAACAAAGTATTTCTACTTTATTAAAGTACTTAAGTACATTTATTGAGTTTATACTATACTTTGAGTATTTTTATCTAGGGAAACTTTTATGCTACCATTATGCTACATTCCTATGCATAATATAGTACTTTTTAATACGCTACATGTCATGAAAACACGTCGTCCTCTTTATTTTGAAGTGAAGTTCATTTTATGTATAAACATTCTGTATATTCTGTTAAAAATACATTCTGTTAAAAAAGAAAATTGGTTGTTAACACCCCAGTTTGGTTGACTATGTGGTTTATATAATCATGTGACTTCTTAAGATGGCTCCTGGTTAAACATTGTCAAATTGGCATTGAGAAAAGTCAGATGTGACCGAAACATTCATCATTAAAAAAGTGGTTTTATCTCACAATTCTTGTCATTCTCTTCATTGATCGAGTATGCAGGCTTTTCCCAAGGATTTATTATTGTAAATGAAAACTATGTTTAGGTCATGACTGTCAGTTGTTTGGGAGCTACAGTATATCTGCAATAAAGGGGTGAGCTGTTTAAGCATAAAATACCTGAATGTGGACATGTCCACATTTGTCTATTTTCCATCTGAACGGGGTAGCTTTTAGGTAAAATAAATAAAAATAACGTTAAAATAACGCAAATTAATGGCCATGCATATTCCTCTCTGTAGTAGCAGTTTTGAATGATGAGAAAGTAGCATGTTTCCATACCGTTCTTAAAATGTTAACACATTTTGCCCTATGTGACGTGTTTTTGTACTGTATGTTTATATTTGTCAACATTTGTCCTCAATATTCTATATAACATATGGTATATTTTGTTATTTTTACTTGTTTGCACACTTGCATTTTCAGTAATTATTGGAGTATGCATCACTGTATGACAAGTTTTGGTAATTAAATACAATGGGTTTTTTTATTTTTATTTTTAATTTTTTTGCAGACCAATACATATTGTCAACATAATATTGACCTTATTGACTAGTGCTGGCTACTTTATAACAATTCATAATAAATGTCAGACTGAGCTGGCATTCACCAATACTTTTAAAGTAAGTACATTACATTACTCCAGTATATTAAAAATAAAGTACTTTTTCTCAAGTAAAATTGAAAAGGAGTACTTAATACTTTTGCTGGAGTAATATTGTATTAGGGTATCTGTACTTTTACTTAAGTACTTGATTAATATACTTCGTCCACCACTGGAAACAATACATAGACAAATTCTTAAATTTGTCACATTTTAGTTTTTAAATATGTTTATGTTTTCCTACCCCAGCTTAATATGCAGACACAACTATAAGTCATTCATTCATAGGTTCCTGTCCCTGAAAACGGTACAGCACTTTCAAAGCATTGTCCTGTTTGAGTGGTCTGCATGTTAGTGCCAAAAAAAACACTGAAGCATTTTTTGGAAATGTGTGTATACTGTCATAGACCTTAGTCAATGTAGGCGGAATATTGAATTTTAGGAAGATGGACACAGGACTATGAGGATACACTTACAGTCTTTACAATAGCATGCATTGGATAAAGGCAATAGATCCCAAGTAATTTTTACAATTCACACCTTTAAAACAATTTTTTTTTTTTTTTTTTTTTGTATACTGAAAGCAGTTTGGAAAGAGATTTCTTCAGCTAAACAAGTGGCATTTTTTTAGAATCCCTTTTGGGTCATTGAAATAAAGCAGAAATAAAATATAAAATCTTAAATAAATTAGAAATGCTGGAATGGCAACTAACTGGAATTCGAACTAAACCTATTAAAACGAAAATAATTTTTTTTTTAAAAATGAGTAATAATTACAAAAGCTAAAAGGAAAATGAAAACTGAAATTGTACAAATAAAAGCTAGTTCATAATATATTTTTTATGATAATAATTTGACTTGCTTGTCATCCCATTAAAGGGATAGTTCACTTTGAAATACATTTTTGATATGTTATAGCTTACTTCAAGGGCATCCAAGTGTCTTTGTTTCCAAAATATTCTCAATTTTGATATTTTTAGGTCAAACCGTTCTTGTCTGTCAGTCAAATAATGCAGGTCTATGGTCACCACTTCAAAGAGCATGTACAGAGAAGTCCAAATTAAACATGATTTAATGACTCGTAAATGTAAGTACACATTGATGGCCTAAGACAGGAAACGAGCGGTTTGTGTGAGAAAATGAACAGTGTTTATACTGTTTTTACCTCATGTAACCACAGCCACGTCTAAGTGATCTGAGGGTGTGGACGCTTTGGTCTGCGCTTTGGTTTTTCGCAACCGCGCAAGATATCACTTCCGCCACTTGCGGAGACCAAAGCGCCCGCAGCCTCAGATCACTTGGACGTGGCTGTGGTTACAAGAGGTAAAAACGATATGAATACTGTTCGTTTTCTCACACAAACCGCTCGTTTCGTGTCTTAGGCCATCAATGTGTACTTACATTTACGAGTCATTAAATCATGTTTAATTTGGACTTCTCTGTGCATGCTCTTTAAGGAGGACCCCATATACTGGCATTATATGACTGACAGACAAGAACAGTTAAATATCAAAATTGAAAACACTGTGGAAACAAAGACACCTACATCTTGGATGCCCTTGAGGTAAGCTAAAACATTTCAAAAAAAAATTTCAAAGTGAACTATCCCTTTAATATCTGAAATGTTTACTATATATATTTTTTTTTATCCATTTTCTTTGTGAGTTGTTGTGATCCACTATCACCTCTAGCTCTATTAGAGCTGCTGTCACTGCCTCCAGTGCCAGTCCTCCAGCTCTGAGCCTGTCCACAGCCTGAAACACATTAAATCACAACTGATGACAGCAACCTCATGTCTGCCAGTGCCTAAAACCAACCCAGTGAGTGTTCTGCTCTACTTCGGGATTCTAGAGCTTTATGCAGAAAAGATCACACTGAAATAATCTAGACAAAACATTAAAAATGTGATAATCCAATACCAAGAGCTTAAAAAGCAAATAAAGCTGCAGTGTTTTCCACTTGACAAGCTTCAAGCACAGAGCGTGGAATGGTATATTAAGCCGGGCAGCAGTTCGCGGGTCGCTGCTGGTGTCATGTTATCAACACATAACTCAAATTCCCTGGCACAGGTGTTTTACTCAAGCCTGATCCCTTCTTTTCATCCTTTACACGGCACTCTGGACTGGGAAAAGCATTGATTTGCAACTTGCCAACCTATGCATTACTGTTACAACATCTATTGCATCTTTCTCTGCTTTCACATTTTTGTCAGCATATCTTAGATTACGTATATTGACAATGTAATAACATTTTGCAAATGCAAGCAAGAAGGAATTCATCTTTGTGTTTAAAATGCCACACAATACGTATCAGAAATCATGCAAACTGAGCTGGGAATGAAAGTTGACTATATCACTGATCTTGTTGACGTGACCTCTGGCAGAGCTATCCAAAGGTTTCAGGGCACAGCAGAAATGCATAAGTACCTCAAGGCATCAAGTTTTGAATAAAGAATCACATGCTACTCACTCTCTGGCAAGCTCTCTTGCACACATGTTTGTATTCCTTGGCTTTGGATTCTGAATGATACCCTGCCCCTGTAGAGATAAAAATCATAAAAAATAAGACAGACATTTCTTACAAGTGAGGTTCTTCAGCTGTTAACATTTTGTATATGACATATGAGATATATTTTTTTTTAGAAGTCTTGCGGATAAATTAAGTTTCATACATTAAAAAGTCTATATGATTCTAAATATTAAAGGGATAGCTCACCCAAAAATGTTAATTGTGTCATCATTTACTCACCCTCATGTTGTTCCAACCCTGTATGAGTTTCTGTCTCTGGTATTTTATGGTATTTTAAAGAATGGTGGTAATCAAACAGTTGATGGGCCCTATTGACTTCCATAGTTGGAAAACAAAATACTATGGAAGTCAGTGGCTACTGTCGACTGTATGGTAACCACCATTCTTAAAAATATCTTGTTTTGTGTTCAACAGAAGAAAAAAACTGGTTTGAAACCACATGAAAGTTGAAAGAAACACACTTTTTATTTTTGGGTGAACTATCTCTTTAAAGAAACTAAAAAGATGTAATGTCATTTAGTCACCTTCATACCGATCCAAACTAATTTGTTATTTTGTTTCCATTCTTTCCACACAATTTTCATTGTGACAATCTGACAAGTTGTCGAAAAGACAAAAAAAAGTAGCATACACATAGTGCTTATATTTCAAGTTTTCAGAAGCTATACTAAATAATAACTTCAAATAATAGCCTGTTTCAGCCAGGCTTTTGTATGTCTTGAGAAGTAGTGGAATACAGTCATACACTGTAAAAAATACAATGAGTTAATACAATGAACGAGTTTGATTTAATCATTAGAAACTCAAAAAAATAAGTTGTCTGAACTAAATCAATTATTTAAATTGATTTGACTAAAGACAAAAATGTTGTGATGACAAATCTTGAAAATATTTTTTTATAGTGTAGTGACTTCTTTCATTGTGCTTATACAGTGTTTTTTTGGCTCTTTTTGAAGTTTGACAGACTAACCATTATGAAGTGTTATTAAATTGACATTTCTTTAAACATTTCCTTTTGTGTTCCATAGACAAATATAACAACATACAAGTTTGCAAAGACATAAGGGTGAGAAAATAATGACAATGTAAAAGATTTCAAGGACCTACTCCTTTTAGGGAATCTTCACAAAACTCATTGCACAAGTAACATCTAAATTTGCACAGAAGGATGTTTATGCAGAAATGTCTTGAATCGCAGTCAAAATTCCCAAAGGAACCCAAATTCACCTGCATGCACCAGCACAAAGCCCATAGCTTCATGACGGCAGACGGTGCTGTTCAGTACAGACCCTGAATTGTTTAGTGGAGACACAGTCTCCTTACAATCTGTCGAGTTTTCTAGTTTTTCCATGACCCGTAATTAATAGAGCTTGCATTTTGACTCATCATTCACTCAGAATTCCAATTCAATTCTTCAAGTCCTGAAAGAAAAGAGAATGAGATATCATACCTTCAGAATTCAACGTGCATATTAAGTAATATTGGCTATTACATTATATTTATATCTAATTCAATTAAGTTAAGTTAGTAATAATGGCATACACATTGACAATTAAAACATTGACAAATTGAGTGCATCCCTTCAAATGTTCTTCATCTGAAGTATATTACTTTAAGTCATTGTCATATAAGAAACATGCCTTGAGGAACACAAACGAAATAACTTCAGTATGCTCACAAATATATATTACATTCACTCAGCTAAGAATCTTTTTTATATACAGTAACTGTTAAGTTACATCAACTGCTGCCAATTTCAGTCCTACAAAACAGAATGAAAGAATGAAGACTGCAACACTCACTCGCATGAAGACTTCAGGTGCATGAAGGCAAAACAGCGCCACAGGCATACGCATTGTTCAGCGTCTCTGCTGATAACAACATACACAAACCGATTGCACTAAATTATGAGTGTAGTATGTCTGTCTGCTGCATGATTGTGATGTGCTGTGATGATGAGCGGCGCATGTGCTCTCGTCACACCAAAATACTTCCTGGTTCAGTGACACATGTCATGTGACCGTATGATTACAACAGCGCCCCCCTGCGGCACAGTCATCGACTGCGTTGCATCAAACTGAAAATGAAACTTTTTTTGAAAATGAAAGTATTTGTTTAACGTAAAGGTTACTTTAATTACTAAAAGTATAATAATGTTTAACAAAAATATATAATATAAAATTATATATCTGCTTGTGGGTTGTGGCCTAACTATAGGGAGTATAGTCGGCCTTGCCTAAAGGAAATGTACTTTAAAGAGAAAATAGTACTGTACATAACTTTTACGAAGCATAGCCTATGTTTTTTTTTACAGAGTGTGTTTAATCAGTGAATTATCTCAAACATTTATGTTGCTACTCACAGTGTTGTCACTCAAGCCAGAAGCCATTATAGACTTAAAAATGCCTAATCTATTAATGGTAAATATGTCAATAGATCAATATTGTACAAACAAAATAATGGACTTCAAAACTCTGCAACTAAAATTATACCGTATATTAAATCTACACATAAATGTAATAAATCTTATTGTCTGGTTTCAAATCAGAATGCAAAGAAAGATTGATAGAACACAGAACAGATGACGTGTGAGGATTTATGGGCACAGTTTGGTGTTATTTATTCTAAACAGATGCTCTTCCCAGCATTAGCAGTGGAATTGAAAACACTCCTTTTGGGACTATTTCCTTACATTAACGTCATCTGACTGAAGTCAAGTACGGATGACTCCACAGTTTGAAAAACACACTTTTTTAAAAAACATCAAAAATGATGCCAGCAAGAAGTTCATTCTTGATTTAATTAAAGTTTATTGTCGTTACTCCTGTTGGTGCTTTGTGGAGAAGGGACAGCAGTCTATGGGGCACAACATCCAAGATTAGGTTTATAGGTTTTCACAATTTATACATTAAATTGCTGCTAGAAGAGTGTGTCTCAAAATGTGGATTGCAGTACTGTAATCTTATATCTTTAATTGTCTTTAATTGTATATCTTTAATTTTACAATTAGGTATCACATCAATCCATACAGTAAGTTGGTTTCTTCTCTGCTAACATTCTAAAATCAACTAAAATACACCAGAGAGAGAGAGAGAGAGAGAGAGAGAGAGAGAGAGAGAGAGAGAGAGAGAGAGAGAGAGAGAGAGAGAGAGAGAGAGAGAGAGAGAGAGAAAGCTGTTTAATTAAATGATTAACTAATATTACTGTATCCACACTTTTTTTGTAGAATTAATTCTGTGATCAAGTTCTATACATCACAAATCTTTTTAAGCTAAACCACTGGCCTGTCAGAGCTAAAGCAAATGTATTCTGTTGTTATTATCTGTATATTGTGATGGATTTCACTCTTGCTGTTTCTTTGTTTAGTGATATGGCATTTATTGGTGCTGAAATAATTGTCTTTGCTCGGATGATTGTTCTTAATATCAGCACTATAGACTTGTTTTCCATTAAGCTTCTTTTACAAGGCTGTCAGGAACAATTGTCTAAAATGCTAATTTTACGGACTTAATGAATGACGGTGCTTTACAAGTGATGAAAAAAAACAAGACTTAATAAATGTGTAACCCTGACAATAATAACATCTAAAATGGTACAAATTAGTTTAAAAGAGCTGTAGGAAATGTATTTCAAATAATCCGAAAATGGCCCTGATATGTTACTACATTAAGAAATCGTGTTAATTTCAAATATCACTGACAACAGCCAAGATATTGTCATTTAAAAAAGTGAAGTTGCAGCCCTCAACTGATGTTGGTGTTGTCATGATGGGTTTTGGTCTGATACTCCACCCTCCACCGATCGACCAATCATGAAGTCAGTAGTGTTGCAGCATTCGGGTTGCCAGCTCTGCTAGTTAGTTTGTAGCTGTAGCTGCAGCTAAACCACTCTACAGTAATTTGAAAGTGATTGCAGTACCAGTTTTGGCCACAATCTTACATACGGCTCCTTTAAAATCAACATATTCTTAAGGTAATTCACAACTATTTTACGTTTTTTGTGTGAATTTGTATCTCATTTGTTTTGTACGATCTGCTTACGCCCCACTGACGGTTAGGTTTAGGGGTTTTAGGGGTTAGGGACTTTATGTTTCACGAGTTCCTTTGCCCGTTTAAGCTATCTTTAAGCTATCGGTAATAAGCTTAAGCGTATTTGGGTTGCTGTCTGCAATGAAAGGGCTCGAGGAAGCAGCTTCAACTCGGGCTTAGATATAGACCATTTAACGAGATGTAAACAACACTGGTCCAGAAGCACTTCCTGTTTCAGTTTTTTAACACTACATAAAAGCTGGGATAAAATACAACCAACAGAACATTTAAAACTGAATCAAAAAGTTAAACAAACATCTTTAAGATGTTTTCTATGTGAAATAAAGAAAACAGTTACAAACTGAAACAGGAAGTGCTTCTGGACCAGTGTTGTTTACATCTTGTGAAATGGTCTATACCCCCAGTGGACTAATGCTTGGATGATGAGTATGGTAGGAAGGGCTTTATGCACAGCTGCTACTTCCTGAACTTCAGCCAGCTCCTTGTTTCCTGTCAGCCATTATTGGGCAAAATTGATTAATTGAGGTGTGTCTGATTATTGTTGCCGTGACTACTGAGGTCAAGCACACCTGAATTAATCAATGAGTCCAATAATGGCAGACAGGAAACAAGGAGCAGGCTGAAATTCAGGAAGTAGTGAAGCTGTGCATAAAGCCAATTATGTTGGTGGAGTTGGGGAGGTGGAAGGATGCCAAAACAGCTGATGCCGGAGCAAGGCTTAAATCAGTAGCACCTCATTGCAGTACATGAGATCCAGGGGGCGGAGTTGGACCAACATTGAAAGATTAGATCAGATGGGTTCATTGAAAGATTAGATGGGTTTTCTCCTCCCGAAATTAGGTTGTGAATTTAAAATAATCGCGTTACCATACAAATTTCATACGAAATTGCACCAATTTCACGTTTTCTCATGAGATTGAGTCTCTCTTGTTTCATACAAATGGGTAATATAGGATAATAATTATAAAATAATTTCAACCAAAATCAATATTTCATGTCCATGTATTTATTTCATGAATAGCTGTGCTAACATTTCTAATCAAACATTTTTTAAATGGGTTGAGGTTGACCTTTACATCTGGAAACAATTGAAGAAATAGCACTTAATTTCACCACTCTCTGATGTTCAGTAGACTTTCTGCAAACGTATCAGAACTGTTTGTTTTTTTTAAATAAAAATAATATTTAGAAACACGCATATTAACATACTCTCAATGCTTATAAAGGGAAGGGTTTCTACATTTTCCTACATGTTGCATCCAGATGGTTATACATTTGCCAGCTAACAAGTACTTTCTTTTAATCATCTGTTCTCTAAATGATATTTGAGTTGGCTAACACCATAGTTCAATTAGTGCAGTAGTGTATATAAGGCTGGAGACTTAAACATTATGTTCAACTTATGAAAGAGAGAGAGAAGAAAAAATACACTGCTTAAGTTGCTTGGAGTAAGTGAGTTGATGGTACAAAGCTTGTTTGTTCTGGCAGCACTTGATACAGTAAAAAAAGGAATAGCTGAATGCTTTTTTTTGCCAACCTAATTTACCATGATTAAGTTTAAGATATTTTTATTGTTTTCTTTGTTTGCGTTTTTGGCTTTCATCAGAAAATCCAAGGCACAGTGTCTTCTTAGATTTAATAGATTCAAGTTTTTAACACTCAAAATGAAAACAAAACCGTTTACAGTTCAGTTCAGATGGAAGTCTTTTGCTTCCAACTTTAGATGAATGAAAAAGAACATAGGTTGCATTTTCAGTTGAGACAATTAACAGACTGGCAATATTGTCTTTCTCGCTAGCTGGGATCTTGTGTGGAAATCTTTGACATCAGACATTGGTGTCTCAAGTCATCTGTGTCTAGGGTGACCACCTGGTAATAAGCCCAAGGGGGGACAAGGGGTATGCTTCTGAGGGACAATGTGGGACACTGCTTGGCGCGGCGGTGCCCCCACCCCATGGGAAGACTCACTGATAGTGGTTTAAAAAAAAGGAAAAGTCTAAACTCACAACTTCACGGAACGAGAAGGTTCACGGAACGAGAAAGTGCGCTGTCATGACAACAATGAAGGTTGACAACAACCTAGTCAGCAGGTCACGCGAGTGGCAACCAGTGTTGGGAAAGTTCACTTTTTACATGAACTAGTTCAAAGTTCAGTTCACACATTTTAAAATGAACTAGTTCAGTTCAAAGTTTGCACAGAATGTCGACGGCAGCCGCGATGCGACACTGGTGGCTTGTGTTGCCAGATTGGGTGTTTTTTCGCTACATATTAAGCCCTGTTTACGGTGAGTTTTAGCCGGGTTTTCGTCTGGAAGGCTCTATAAAAATCTGGCACCCTATTGAACGAAGTTAAACTGAGAGAGCGTGCGTTCACAGACACCAGAATGAACGAGTTAGCAGTACAGGCAGTAAAGCAATACGTTCAGTTCACCCAAAATATGAACGAGTTCATTAACGTGAACGTGTTCAGGCACAATTGGCTGCCTGGGTCTCGATGATATAGACTGACCGACTTTTTTTTTTTTTTTTTTTTTTTTTTTTTTTTTGAGCAAGCATTGATGCGTGACACGGTCTCGGCATGAATTGGGCGTCAAACGCTGTGCACGCACGCGCTACGCGGGACGGGTGGGCACCCTATCTGTGTCACTACTTGGCTCAAGTCTCCAGTTATTAACTCTACAGACTACTGAATTCAACGCATTCTCATCCCAAAGCGCCATATAGGACGCTTTTGCAAAAGCGTAAATATCCAACGCACATGGCACCCTTTAACGTCTAATGAGACGCTTCGGTTAATGGTTAAGTTTAGGTATGGTGTAGGTTAGACCACTAGGGGGCGCCTTCTGCCCAAATATATATGCGTCTCATTTCACGTTAAAGGGTGCCATGTGCGTTGGATATTTACGCTTTTGCAAAAGCGTCCTATATGGCGCTTAGACTTTAT